GAGTCCGAGGCCTGTTCTGGAGATGGTAAGATACTTTGGTCCGGGAAATGTGAACGGCTGGCCACACCATTCGGGCAAATCCCGCACAGGACTCTGGCCACACTGAATCCTCGCCAGGGTCTATTTAGGGTAAGGTGGGGTAAAGCCGACCTAGTAAATGGTTTTGCCTATAAAATGTTTATTTTACATCGGATAAAGTCGTTATATATACCAAATTAAAGGTTAGACTTTTGCGCAACGTTCTATGCATGGCATTTTATTCATACCTTTGAAAAGTTTTGAGATACAAGCGTTTTACGAAAAAGTTCATTTTTGCTATGTTCAAAAATGATGGAGTAAATCCGACCGCCTATATTTTTGGTTGATTTAGTACAGATATAACCTAAATATAGGTTTTGCAATGATAAATCAATCAATGTTATGTTATATAATGGTAATAAAAGATAAAAGAATTAAAAAAATTAAAATAGCAAAATAATTAATCAGTATCATCTGATTCGCTGCTCAAATAGCTTGCTGGCGTTTTTTGGTTCGAGTTAAACGTCTGGTTGGCTGCGATGTTGATGGTTTTGGTGTGATTGTTGTTTTTTTTGGATTTTTTGCGGCAGGATTTACCCCACTATTTAGAGGTCGGATTCGACCCACCACGTAATTTTTCATAAAAACGCAATTAAAAAAGAAATTATGAAAAAAATGAACCAAACTTATATGCACTTTGTAGGACTTTATTCAAAGAATCTAAATCCACTTACCTTTTCATGCGATAACTCTGACAAAAAGAAATATCCTGCAGTTAATTATGCACAAAAATGAAATTCAAAATTGTGAAAACAAACTTGTTGTCGTTTGACCATCTCAATGTTGACTAATAAAATGCTGTCATACCACCATTTACATTGTTTTCGATGCTCTACACGACAACACTAATATTAGTCTGCGTAGTGCTTCCCATTTTCGAAAACAGAGGGAGGTCGGGTTTACCCACACTGTCGGCTTTACCCCACCTTACCCTAATCCGGGCGACGGCCCTGGAGAAACTACTTAGCAGCCGACTGCGATTGGGTCGAGTTAACCTCCCCAGTAGCTAGCAGCGAAGTCACTTTTTGGGAACCCAGGTTCATATTTATAAATCGTAGTTAGAATCCCTCTGCTGACTTTCGAGTCCGAACTCTGCTGACTTTCGAGTCCGACAACGATCCTCTCTGCTGACTTTCGAGTCCGAACCTCGGCTGACTTTCGAGTCCGACAACGATTCTCTGAGTTGACTTTCGAGTCCGAACCTCTGCTGACTTTCGAGTCCGATTCTTTAAGTTGACTTTCGAGTCGGAATCTCGGCTGACTTTCGAGTCCGAACTTCTCCGAGCTGACTTTCGAGTCCAACAAACTTCTCTCAGCTGACTTTCGAGTCCGACAATAACGTCTCTGAGCTGACTTTCGAGTCCGACAACAACTTGGTTCTGTTGGGTTTCGAGTCCGAACGCATTATCTCGTGAATGATTTTCGAGTCCGAACGCATTCGCTTGGGTGACTTTCGAGTCCAAATAACCCATCTTCTGGCGGAACTATCGGCATCTTCCCCACCGGACAGCCGCTAATCGGAAAAAGGAGGACGAATCGGAACCACGGCGTACCCCAGAATCAAGACCCGACATGAAATTATTGAGAATTGTACCTTTTAAGTCAATAAACGTTAAGATACATTTTAACGGCATAATCTAGCGTTCTACTCTGGGACTGGGTCGGAATCTCTTACAGCAACCACGCCTGAACCAAATTAATTCCTGAAACGGACCCTGGACGTCCCGCTAGCTATCCGAGGGCAGATAGACCGTCACAAAGGATGTTTTCTCAAGGAATCTCCATTCTGATTCCAAAGTACCCTGTCTCCTTACAAGATCTAGCACGGGTTGACTATTATTGTCAGGTCACCGTCCTCCTCGTTGTCGGACTCGTCCAGCGTCATTCCTTGCGCGGCATCCACGATGGTTTCCAGACCTAGGTCCTTCTCCACCTCGCCTGCTATCGGGGTGTGTTCATCCTTATCCCAGGGATGGCGCTTTTTGAGGCGATAGTATACACTGCCCATGACCCTCGCCATTTTTCCGTATCTAGGATAGAGGATGTTCTCTGCCTATTTGTTTATCTGGAAGACTGCACTTTGGCCCCCTCCTTTGTTAATGGGGTCGCAACGTGCAGAACCTTCCAGTCCGCGGTTGGGATGTCCGGATTCTGACGCTGCAGTAGCTTCAGCGCCCGGACCCCCTTTTTTTATACCCTTGCAGGGTATTATAATATCAGTCAGAAGTTTGCAACGCAGTGAAGGAGACGTTTCCGACCCTATAAAGTATATATATTCTTGATCAGCATCAACAGCCGAGTCGATCTAGCCATGTCCGTCTGTCCGTCCGCATTTCCGTCTGTCCGTTTCTACGCAAACTAGTCCCTCAGTTTTAAAGTTATCTGAATGAAACTTTACATATGGTCTTCTATATACTCTCACTGCTATATATGTCGGAACGGGCCGTATCGAACGACTATATCATATAGCTGCCATACAAATGTTCGATAAATTTTTGGGAAAAAATTATAACTTGGCTGTTTTTCAATATTATTCCATGATTTTTAAGATATAGCCATTTTATATTATTCCAGAATTTTGTTAAAAATTTTATGAAAATCGGACGACTATATCTTATAGCTGCCATAGGAACGATAGGGAAAGTAATAGAAAAAATTATAACTTCGTTATTTTTCAACGTATTTTCATCTACTTTAAGACATGAGCTTTTTGTATTATTTCAGAATTTTGGTATAAATATTATGAAAATCGGACAACTATATCATATAGCTGCCATAGAAGCGATCCGTAGATGTAGAGAAAATGTAAAGCTGGGAATGTATAACTGTAACTGTAAACATAATAAGTATAGGTAAAATGTTATGAAACTCTGTTTAGTGTCTGTTTTCGGCATTATAATTTATAATATAAATATGAAAACCTGACTTTCGTCAGATTAATAAAGAACTGTTGTCGGATAAATTCCTGTTACAGAGAATTGATATTTTAGATCAACTAGGAAGAGCGAAATACTTTTCATGTTTAAACCTAATGTCTGGTCTCCATGAGTTCGAAATAAATAATAAACGCAAAATTTATTCCAAGGAATTATGACTATGTATAGCATTCTCCAAATTAGGTTAGTTTAGTCCGGACGGCCCTCACGGGACCACGCAATGGCCAATATGGGCCGTAGTTGTTCGGAAATTTTCTGGACATAACGACATATTTCCTGATAGAAGCAGGCGTTGAGCCGCCTTTCCTGCAGTCAGTTGCACTTAGGTATCTAGAAGATAGGTACCGATTATGGTTTCGAGTGCTTTTGTAGGGATTGACCTCAGCGCCATTGATATGCAGAGCAGTGCCTGGCGCTGGGTTGTCACCATTAGCTTATTATACGTTTTTTTCTCCATGGCTTGCCATCACACTAAGACTCCAAACGACAGAGTCGGATGCATCACGGATGTGTAGACCCAATGCATTAAAGCGGATGAGAGGCCCCATTTGCTGCTAAACATCCTCTTGGATGCATATAGCGCTATGGTGGCCTTTTTCAACCTCTATAGTACATTGGCCTTCCACGCCAGGTTGCTGTCTAGTACAATGCTGAGATATTTGACTTGTGTTTTCGGGGTCAGCCTTTGTGAAGAGAATGAGGTTCGTCTTATCCGTGTTGATATTGAGTCTGAGAGTCGACGGACAGACTCCCGTAATAATTATGCTTATGTCATCCGCAACTAGATTTTATAGGAAGGGGGCTAAGACCCCACCCTGGTTCTGTGGTTATTAAAAAAAAAAATCGATTTTTATTATTTTTTTTTTTTGAAGCGCCGGCATTTTGTTATTTTTTGTTGAATTTTGATAAAAGTGGCCTATTCCATAACCACATTCATACTAAACAAGATCATTTTTGAATTTTTTCTTTTAGTCGATTTTTACGTCCTGCATATTGGTCGCCAGAGGGGTTCCTTTTTTGAGCATTGGCCTACGTCGCCCAGTGTCCTGCTTCAGAATATGCTTTAACATTTTTGCTAAATCATCTCTAAACTATGAGAAATATATGTGAAAAGTTTGATGATTGACTATCTATGTCTTTTCCTTTGTCCACAAAAAATTCCTGAAAATTGCCTATTTTTTGGCCCAATTAACCAGAATGGACCCTTAAGTTTCTTTCGTCGGAGTGAAAGGTTCTTGTTCCACCTGGGTGGCCTGGTCCTCTTTCTCGATTCCGATATTGGGCATGATGCGTGGTACGAATCTAGCAAATTTTTGGTTAGGGTCTCTGATGTCTTTTCTATGCCTTTCGCGGGTTTTACTATGCCCGGAAAGAGCGCGAGCCTTGTCATGATAATCTCCTTGAATTTTCTCCAGTTAGTATTCCGCGGGTTCCTTAATACTGATTGTTTTGGAGAGTGTTCGAATCCGTATTGGAACCGTATGTACTTATGATCTGAGAATGACGGTCTCTCAAGGACTCTCCATTCTGACTCCAAAGTACCCGTTGAAAAAAGACGAAGTTCTAATTTTTTTAAATTACCTTTCCGATCTTTCTTATGGCAGCAATATGGTATATTCGTCCGATTAAAAAAAAATTTAAACCGAAAATCTGAAATAATAAAAAACCACCATATCTCAAAGAATTATATGCATTTGAAATCAACAACACCAACGTCTAGGTTGATGAATTACAAATAAATGGTAATGCAGGGTATACATTTGATCGAAAAACGCTCGCGCGTTGGCTAAAAGTGCATATTTAGCGATCACACCGTGACATTTGGCTCTCCACATTCGATATCTCATGCCAGGCGTCCCGAAACTCATGAGCATATATTTAAGCTCTTCTATTTACTTTGACGGTTGATTTTCTAAGTTTGCAGGTTAAAAAAATGATTTTTTTATGAATTTAATTATGAATGGTTTCTTTTCAATTTCAGGCGGATCTTTAAGGCCTAATAGGATAAATTCAAACGACGTTATTCTATAGCTTCGTCAGAACCGTTGATTCTATTATATGGAATAATTATGTCCATTCCCAGCTCCTTTAATAATTCGGAGACTTATTTGGAAGCTGCATCCAAATTTTTGAGTACGTACTCATGGATTTATCGTACATCCAATACAAATTGTCTCCTATCCATCGAGTCCATGCCGCTTGATTTAAAAGATTATTTTCTCAGCATTTCAAATGAAAAGCTCAATTTAGTTCCTCTTTTACAAGAGAATCTTGGTGATTGTCCGTTGTCGCTTATAAGTTTCAGACAAGAATTGAATATTTTAACGCCGAAGCAAATTGAAGACGTGAATAACTCAAATTGTAAAGTGACTCAAAAAGCTAAAAACCAAAAAGGAATTTCGGCAAAGAAAATGCTAGAAATAAAGAACCTTTCCCAACACGTAAACGATCATTGTGCAGAGTCCCAAGTTTTAGTTGACTTGGGCGCAGGTTTGGGATATCTTAGCCAAGCGCTTTTTGATCTAAAACCAAATTACCTTATACTAGGCCTGGAAGCCGATAAGTCGCGAGTAGAAAAAGCCCGTCAACGACGTCTAAGTTATTTGCCACCGGACGCCATAAAGTCTGTAATATATCAACAACATTTTGTTAACGCAGACTCTAGCCCATATATAAATGCGTTAACTACAGAGCTTGCCAAAAATAACGGTTTTTCGGAAGTGGTGACAATATCAATTATTGGCTTGCATGCGTGTGCGGATTTGAGCATTAATGCCATGCTGTTATTTTTAAAGATGCCCAAAGTTCGATGTCTTCACATTATGCCCTGCTGCTATCATAAGCTGGAGTTACGTTCACATGGCAACGGAGTCCGCGATCACATTACTAACTTTCCTTTGAGTAAAGCTCTCCATAAATCAATTCAGAAAACCAATCAGAATTTGTTCTTGAATAGACCATTTCTTAGACTCGCTTGCCAACAAACAAGCTCTCATTGGGACCGTGACTGCACTGCCGAAGCTCATGAGGAACACGGATATCGAATGTATATGCGAGCACTTGCAGAGGCAGTTCTTAACACAACTGAAATAGTAAAACCTAAAAAGAACATTTCTTTCACACCTAAATATCCAATAACCATGTTTAAGTTAAGAAGTGGGTTTCAAGTATTTTCAAAGGAATCTAGTGAGTCAATAGAATGGAACTCGACACATGAAGCAAAATTTTTAGAATTCAGTCTCAAGTACCCTAACACTCAGGGACCCCGCCTAGCCGAGGCGTTAACATGTTTGCAAACAGCTATACAGGTAATTTCTTGAAAGTTATAATCTGCCTTAATATTAAGAACATTTGCACTTTAGAAACTTTGTGAAAACGTTGTGCTTTTGGACCGCTTATGTTACTTGGAGGAAATGGCGGCTAGTCAAAATATACCGATCAAGGCTCAATATAAAATATTACTGGACGAGAAGATATCTCCACGATGTCAAGTTCTGGTTGCTGAAAAATGCGGGCTAAAATTTCCTGGAACATAAGTCTTATTTGGTTTTGAAGACCATGTTGGAATAAAAAAAGACTAAGAAAATATATTTTTGTTGAAGATTTAGTGTTCAAAAAAGAAAAATAAAGTGGTTTGTATTTTATTTATTAGTGCTTCTTCTTGCTGCAACCAGGAATTATTTAATAGGGTATTATCCGTGTAATCGTCGCGACGTAAACAATGTTACATTAGCCTAGTAATTCAAGGAAAAATTGGCTCCCCTGTTTGCAAAAGCAGAATGATATTCGTGATATTCCTCGAAATACTAAATTTGAGCTGGGTTTCATTCATTTAATACATAAATCATAATGTGAATAATAATACAAAATTAGAGAAGAGTTAGAAAGAGCAGTCACGATTTTTTTTAGAGATTCGTGGTTATGTTACAACTGTTTTTTTTCCTCCAAAATATTGATGCAATGCAGAAGGAGAACCAATTTGTTTGCTCTGTCTCTTCAGTTACATCATTTACAGCCACTCTCTATAACTTACGTCATTAACATTAGCATTAATCCTTTGAGACAATACGCCATATACGAAATGCAAATGTAATTATTCCGACTTTATATTCGATCTCAGCGACCTCTAAAAGCCTTACTTTAACATTTTTAAGAGTAATTACAAGAATAAATTGTTGTCACAACCGCTTTATCCAAATGCCGGTTAAATATTAAATTTTCCATTACAAGTTAAGGGGGTCTTCTCATTCAAAAGCCGTTTTTTGGACCCTTTTTAAAAAAATTCTTATTTGAAAACGCAAAGAATCATTGAAAACTTTTTTTATTTATTGTATTCAAAAATGTTCAAAGTAACTAAAAAAGTTGTTCTTGCCTCGATACGAGGGTTGTTCAAAGAGTAATGAGACTTCAAACTTGGTGGTCGAAAAAAAAGGTGTCCTGGCGGCCATGATTCAGGGTCTCCAGAGCGTCCGAAATGAAAAATAAAAACGGGGTTATAATCAAAATAGATGTCATTTTCGGCTGACGGAACAGATTTTTTTTTAATTTTTAAAACAAAATGGCGGCCATTCAAAAAAAAAAATTCGATTTCGGGCGTTTTTTTTGTAGTTTAGTGTAAAAAAAAAATAGAAAAAAAAATTTAAAAAAAAATCTGTTCCGTCAGCCGAAAATGGTGACAATTCTGCGTCGATTCCACTTTGTTTCATGAAAATCGGTTCAGTTGAACTGGAGATATCATGGCCGCCAGTTCGAAAAACGTGGTTTCGAGATAAACGCGTTTGAAGTTTGAAAAAAGCTCATTTTGCATAGATCTTGCTTCACAAAAAAGGCTGTATCTTCTAAAGTATTTCGAATTTCTAAAAATCCTTTTGGGGACATATACACACCATCCCAAGCTATAAATAAATAAATAAAAAAAAATCGAAAAAAAAGTTGCCCAATGAGAAGACCCCCTTAACACAAAACGAATTCGCAACCGAAGTTGGTAACGCGCATCCGGTATTGCACCAGCAAGTAAAAGTGGCAACTTTCCGGCTTCGATCAATAGCTCCCAAAAAGTGCTGAGTGCAGCGTTTTATCCACTTATGTAACGAACATTAAACAATAATATTTTCAGGCTAGTTGTTGAGACTGAGAGAAACGCATACGCAAAAGTGTTCTCCGGCTGCGGCTCGTCGGCAAGGGGGGTGGTGGTCTTGCTGCTTCTCTCAGTATGGCCTTTGCTTATTATATTTCAAAGAAAAAGAGATTGCGTGTCTGATTTTTGCCGATATAATAGTGGTAGAAAAACTCTGACATTTTAGCTAAAAAAAATATGAACGAGTTGAAGAGGAAAGATTGTATCCAGAACTGCTCTTATTCCCTCCCCTAGAACCTATTTGGAATCTCCGATGTTGATGGGATTCATTTCGCCTTTCCTTCCTTTGGTCGTTCGATCGCCAAATTAAATACGCTTTCATGAACGGCCCCTTCTCGGTTCTAGGGACTCCCCGAGGTCATAGGTGCTCCGTCAAATTTAAAGAGACAATTACGACATTATAAAAGGAATTTATTTACTAACATCAAAATTTTCCCCTCCTTGCTGAGAACACATGAGAGAAAATAGCACGAAAACCATAAAATAATATAAATATAATGTAACGACCCTCTTTTGGGGTGCTCGGCCTAGCTCGCCGGAGTCGGGGTTCGTACAGAACATTTGTAATGTCCGAGTCCCTCGTGTCCCAATACTCAGTAAATAGGCAAGAGGAGAGAGGTAATTTTAATGTAGTCTTTATTTATCAAGCTATAGTGGAACCTGTGGAGGAATACAGTGTGGTTGCTGCTGTGGGGGTGTCTTGTTGATACCCTGGTTGCGGGTAGATCCGTGTCCCGGTCTTCGATGGTGCTCAGCCGGCTGGCTGACGATGATACCCGGTGGTGGGTGATGCGACGCTGCGACTAGGGTCCAGTGGGTCGACTTGTGGTTACCCTGCTCGGGCGATGCGACTGCTGATCGTCGGCGTGGCGATACCCTGTATCGGTGATGCGATCGTCGGTGATCGGCTTGGGAGTACCCTGTTCGGGTGATGCGACTGTCTCGTGGTCGGCTTGTGAATACCCTGTTCGGGCGATGCGACTGTATCGTAGTCGGCTTGTAAATACCCTGTTCGGGCGATGCGACTGTATCGTAGTCGGCTTGTAAATACCCTGTTCGGGCGATGCGACTGTATCGTAGTCGGCTTGTAAATACCCTGTTCGGGCGACGCGACTGTCTCGTGGTCGGCTTGTGAATACCCTGTTCGGGCGATGCGACTGTATCGTAGTCGGCTTGTAAATACCCTGCTCGGGCGATGCGACTGTATCTTGTCGGCGTGTAAATACCCTGTTCGGGCGATGCGACTAGGGTGCGTGACCGTTGCGGCTGGCCGCTGTCGTGGTCACGGTAGGTGGGTCCGGGTGACGTCACTCGAGGTGAGCGATCGTTGTGCCTAAGCTCGCACCGTCCCTAACGCCTTTCTGCTACCCTGTAGCTATCAAGATCCGCCGGCAAGGGCCAGATCTTCTCCCCTCCTATGCTTGCTTGGCGAATGTGGCGAACCTCATTCGACGCCCTCCCCTATTCCTGATCTGCCATCCAAGGGCCAGGTCAGAACCCCAAGTCTATACTACCTGTACGGCGTGGTCATACGGACCGCGCTCGATACCCTGTTTCCGCGAGATCTGCCATGCAAGGGCCCGACCTCGTCCCACGGCTGACTATCTGTGCGAAGTCCGCCAACTAGGGCCAAACTCCGCTCCTCCCAGCTACTTCGTTAGATCCGCCTGCAGGGGGCCAGACCTAGTCCTACTGCTACCTATACCTTTTCCTATATATATTAGTTATTAAGGTTCGCCAACTAGGGCCAAACCTTATCCTACTGCCTACCAAGGTCCGCCCCTAGGGCCAGACCTTGTCCTACTTCTTTACTTATTGACTTACCAGATGTTTCCTGCTCCGCTGCTCCGCCAAAAGTCAAACCGCACTGGCCGGTGCGTCGCTTTATATAGCCGGTCGACAGCTGTTCTCCCCCGATCGATAATCGATAATTCCCCGATGGCCGATAGGCAGGGCGTTGCCAGATCGATCGTATCCATTCGATTATCGTCAGCTGTTCAGGGCTGGACGCGCTATTCCTTGGCCGGCGTTGCCACTACTATTCTTAATCTTATTTGAAAGCTTAATTCTACTTATGGATTATATTTGTTGTTGCGACGTGGGTCGTCGCACTCCCCCTCCTTTGCCAGTTTAAATTTTCGAGGTGGTTCTGATGACTTCTCCTGCCAATCTAGCTGGGTTGACCCGTTATTGAATTTGACCATTGTGCTAGTGTTCCTGTGTGAGTGTATTTGTGTTATTAGGTTCGGTGTTGTCGAGTGCTATTCCCTGTTCTCCTAAGTATTTCTTCATGTTATTTACATATGCTCTTTGTGTCTTGCTGGCTTAGTTCTCTCAGCCTGTTGACTCTTCCCTCGTCGTGGTCTCCGTTTTTTATGAAGTCTGATAGCTGGCGTCGTAGGTCTTCCACTAGCAGCTCTGGTTCCATTCCAAACTCCCTTGTGTATTCTTCTAGCTGGGTCTTGTTTAGACTTGTTACCCATCCGCGGGTTAACTTCTCTGTTGCCATGGTTTTTTACTTTGTTATTAAGGACTACGAGGTTTTCAGGACGTTGGGCGCCACTGTAACGACCCTCTTTTGGGGTGCTCGGCCTAGCTCGCCGGAGTCGGGGTTCGTACAGAACATTTGTAATGTCCGAGTCCCTCGTGTCCCAATACTCAGTAAATAGGCAAGAGGAGAGAGGTAATTTTAATGTAGTCTTTATTTATCAAGCTATAGTGGAACCTGTGGAGGAATACAGTGTGGTTGCTGCTGTGGGGGTGTCTTGTTGATACCCTGGTTGCGGGTAGATCCGTGTCCCGGTCTTCGATGGTGCTCAGCCGGCTGGCTGACGATGATACCCGGTGGTGGGTGATGCGACGCTGCGACTAGGGTCCAGTGGGTCGACTTGTGGTTACCCTGCTCGGGCGATGCGACTGCTGATCGTCGGCGTGGCGATACCCTGTATCGGTGATGCGATCGTCGGTGATCGGCTTGGGAGTACCCTGTTCGGGTGATGCGACTGTCTCGTGGTCGGCTTGTGAATACCCTGTTCGGGCGATGCGACTGTATCGTAGTCGGCTTGTAAATACCCTGTTCGGGCGATGCGACTGTATCGTAGTCGGCTTGTAAATACCCTGTTCGGGCGATGCGACTGTATCGTAGTCGGCTTGTAAATACCCTGTTCGGGCGACGCGACTGTCTCGTGGTCGGCTTGTGAATACCCTGTTCGGGCGATGCGACTGTATCGTAGTCGGCTTGTAAATACCCTGCTCGGGCGATGCGACTGTATCGTAGTCGGCGTGTAAATACCCTGTTCGGGCGATGCGACTAGGGTGCGTGACCGTTGCGGCTGGCCGCTGTCGTGGTCACGGTAGGTGGGTCCGGGTGACGTCACTCGAGGTGAGCGATCGTTGTGCCTAAGCTCGCACCGTCCCTAACGCCTTTCTGCTACCCTGTAGCTATCAAGATCCGCCGGC